ATTCATCTATCGGCCACTATATCAGCTTATCAATACTTGTCATAATGCACATCTCGCAAACAGCATTGAAAGAAAACCTGGGAGACAAGAACCTAGGTTCTGACTACAGATTTTTCTTTCCCTTCACTTTTCATAAACCGACAAGCAGCACACAGTATTTTAAAAATTTGTATCTTCATTTCTGATCGGTTCAACCTACCGCCTGCACATCGCCTGCCAAAAGGTCAAACCCCAGAGTACGTATGTGTAAAGCTCCTAGTTCTGCCCAAGCTAACGTCACCAAGCAGACGAATACTCAGAGTCATTGCCATAGAGCCAGTACCTCCTGCCTTCACAAATTCCGACACAACAGCACACAATCTTTTAAAGAAACAAAAAAAATGTGTTCTAAGAGATGCCCACGGCTAAGAACGGATTTATTTCTCAAAAGGAAAATTGCCTGTTTGAGCCGGACACTAGTGATGCAAAGGGCAGATCTGACATGGTGATATTTGGTGTTCTCTTTATCTCCCTTTTAGATGATGATGAGCACGAATGGATCATTCGGACCTGCCGGAAAGCTTGGGACGAAACAAATGAACATAAACCGAAAGCGTGAAAACAGTTTTTGCTAGACGATAATATTCCAAAGCAGGTAATCTGGCTCGCAATAAATCTGATTTGTCCTCGTGGATTTGTCTCACCCCTTCCCTCTACAGCAGTATAATCTTTTTGTCATCTTTGTCGGCACAAACAAAAATAGAAATAATCATTTAATCAGTCACGCTGAGAGAAAGCCATGGAAAAAAGCAGACTGTACTCACAATACCATTCCTGCGAGGTGTGCAGTGTAGTGCATATACACGTTATTAAGCCTGAAAACAATTTGTTAAAAAGAGTGCCTCAGATTCAGTGTTGAAGTCATTCAAATCCATCTTAATCAACATTATTTTCCCAGATTTTAGTTAGCTGTCCTGGTGAATTCCTTTCCTCTCTTTTTGCTCAGTACTTTGATATTGATTGATCATTGTAATAATGTACACCAGAGGTATTCTTTAATGACTGGTTTGCTAACTAGGAAATTATATCCATTTACTACGAACGTTTGTTGAACTCTCCTGAAGCCAGAGTTTAACAAAATAATAAAAGAGGAAAACTGGGTGGGTTGCTGCTTGATTAGTAAGCCAGAAAGTATTTAAAAATAAAATAAAATGGAATTACATCATTTTCTGGATGTAAGTGCCAGCACTTCTACTTGCATTAACTTTATTTATTACACAAATAAGACATTTACAAAGCACAACATTAAAAGTATGTAACAAAACAGACATTGGTTTTACAAAAAAGTGCTTACAATTTAGTTTTACTTTTTTAAAATAAATATTAGTCTTGACTGTCCACTCATTCAGAGAAATTTTCTTTTTTTTTTTTTTTTTAACCATTGTAGCCAAGACATGCAGAATTGCAACATGCTACAACAAAATGATTGGCGGATGAAATAAAACTGATGTGTCTATCGTTGGCATCCTACAGATACATCACAGATAGTAGTGCAGGATTGGTTCCCACTCCCCCGTCCCAACTAGTAAGTTGTGTAAGCACCTTTAGCTCGGGTGTTGGGGTTAACCAGCATGAGCCAAAAAAAAAAAAAAAAGAAAAATTGGTAATAAAACTGTAAACTGTTCCACTTTCAGACCCTAGCCGTATTTAGTTACCTTATTCAACTTGAATGAACCACCTTTCACTGGCTCTCTTCACTGGATTTTGTCTGCGAAAGGGTTTGTAAATAGCAACTGGAAAAGTTTAGTGCGTGGAGTCTGCGTCGCTGCACCAGAACCCATTTGGCAATTACTGAATAAACTAAGGAAATGAGAATGATTTTAATTTTATTTTTTTTTTTTAAATCTACAGACAGGAGATGAATGCAAATGACCTGAGATAAGGTTTGGTTCAGTGGCAACAGTCAGTGTGAAATATGTTGTGAAACAATGTATTGAATAAATTAGAGGATTTCTTACATTCTTGGTACAGTTGAGTATTTTCCATACACATAATTAGCTCTAAAACTGCACAAGCTGAATTGCTTCCAGTTTTTGCAAACAATTTGGGCTTAATATAAACAGAGCCTGATTTCTGAATTAGCAAAGCTGCTCCTGGCTACTTATGGGGGAAAGTGCCCCGGCGCACAGCCCGAGCGGGGCAGCTCCCCCGGCGCAGCGGCGAGGCCACTTCCACGGGGGAGAAGCCCCCGCACTCCCCCGGCCCTCTGCCCCGCGCGCCGGCCCTGCCAGTGGTATCAGTTACAAAAACTCTGATATACAGTACATTTCACAAGTGGTTGTGGGTTTGGGGTTGGTTTTTTTTTTTGCTCAGTAACTAAGCTGATATTTAGCAGATACATATTTAATAGTTCCCCTTTCATCGCACCGCCGAGACAGAAGAGAAATGCATCAAACCATTTTCTCCCTCAACAACACAGTTGTGGAAATCTCAAGTACTGTGGGACGTTAGGTCAAGTTACAGCCTGAAGTCTCTCCTTCAGTCTTAAATGGAATAGCTACCCGCTCGTTTATGGCACTAATTCCACAACTAAACGATCATTAGGATGCACCAGCACAAATGGAGAAGGAAGTCGGGCCCCGGTGACCCTGCCGACCACCACCAGCGCCTCAAGGCTGTTGCATGCGGACACGATCCGCTTCAACCACCCGGTTACAAACGCTCTCCCAACAGCCGACAAAGGGAACACCCGGCTCGCGCTCCTTGCTACAGACAAGGAGAAAAGTGACCGCAACAGGGGCAGCTTGTGACCGTCCCCTCCCCGCGGGGATGCTTCTGCAGCGCTGGTCCCAGTCCGGTCAGGCGTGCGGGAGCGCCTTGTCACTGGAAATGGTTATCCGCACATCAGGAGGTGACAATAATTCTTTGCGGACTTCATTTCCTCTCTCCTTTCAAATGTTATTTTAAACTGGGGGTAGAGCTGCTAGCTGCTGGCTGCAATTAGACAGAATACCGGCCTAACTGTCCAAGGTGTTACCATCGCACTCTCTCGCTCTCTGTATTTTTAATATATACACACACACACAGATAGATGTGTGTATGTATATATACATATCTGTCCCAACAACTATCAATGCATGCTTGTATTCAGTAACTTCTCAGACCGAGAGATCTCGGTGGCCACCTCAGCAGACATCCGCGCCTCCTGACGCCATTGCCCGTGCGGTCCGGGCGGCGAGCGTGCCTCGCGGTCAGCGCCACGCGGAGCTCGGGGGCACGGTCAGGAGAAGGCTCACCGTGTGTGCAATACGGGCTGGCCAAACCAGTAGGCTCGCTGCCCACCCGGCCGACGTTGGAGATTGATCCCGGGTCTCCCAGAGGGATAAACACATGTATCTACAGTTCGAATTAAAACCAAGTTATGTAACGGGTGGATTCCTGTCTTCTGTTCCTCGGGCACGGTTTGGTCATATTAACGCACTAACTGTGGCTCATGGTAGGCTTTCACATTCTTGGGAATGCGGCCTCGCAGACACTTAGCAGCAAGACAGACCCGTGCGCTTGCATGGAGAGAGGTTTCCTTACAGACCTGCTCTCGGCTCGGTGCAAACTGAGAAGGGCTGGCAAAGGTTACTTGTTTACTTTTTGTTATTACCGTCAACGGAGGATCATTTCGGAGCTTTTTTCCTGATTTGGGGCCAGACTGCTGAGCGCTTTGCTGTTGCAATGCGCCCTGCGGTGCCTGCCCCCCTGGCAGCGATCCTCCTGGGCCGTGCCTTCGCCCGGTGATGGTGGAGGGTGGGTTTTTTTTGAGGGCAGCAGCGGGGCGGGGGGACTCGGAGCGACGCTGCCAGGCAAAGGAACATGCCATCACCTTGCTGTCCACTCAGCTAGCGACGGCTCCTGCTGGCCTTACTGCGGCTTTCGCCTGTTTAACTGGTCTCCAGTTTCTACCCCACCGTTTCCACTAACTGAACTCGGGTCCTCACCAGGGCAGAACACTTCTACACCTTTACAGTCAGCTTCCACTGAGGGCTTCCCAGTCCCAGAGTATGGAGCGTCTGAGAGTTCTGTGTAGGTACATTCTGAAATCACCCATTTGTGATCCAATATGACTCCAAGGAACTAAAGTAGCTTGTTAATAAGGAACGAGAGTAAAACAGAAAAAAAAAAAAAAAAAAAAAAAAAAAAAAAAAATTAAAAAAAGAAGATTTGGCAGATGGCTGTGAGAGGAGAGAGATACTCAGTGCTCTAAGAACAAGTCAGCAATCAAAAATTTCAGAGTGCTAAACCTGGCTCTGCCACCAACCCTCACGGTTCCTCTCAGTTTAGGACATCTTGGTTTCCCCTCCTATAAAACGGCGGGAAAAACACTAAGATTTACTTACCTTAGAGCGATCAAGGGACATGTGATTCTAAAGCACTTTGAGGAGGAAGAAAAACTGCCTATTTCCAGCTGGCATCGTGTTTTCCACTTAGTGGAGTCTCAGCTACCCACGAGTTTGGCTCAGGAAGGTCTGTGTACATATCGAGTTGCTGAGCCAAAAAAAGCCCATTTCAGATTTCACACATGCAAGTGGAAATAAGGAGGGATGTCCGGGAACCGGCAGTGCTTCACTGGTGCAAAAAGAGAATCAGGCCAAACCACGTAAATTCCTCCTTCCTTTATGTTCAGAGGTGATCATCGACCCCCCTGAGACTCAGCATGTTCTGGTTTGTTCGTATTCCCATGGGTTTGGGAGCAAGAGCTGCAAGCACAGTAGAGTCACTAATTTTGACTGTGTCTGGCATTGCCTTGGAGAGACTCACGGTCATTCTACAAGTCCACAAGAAACAAGTGAAAAATGTAACTCTGCACTCAACACACACATACACAGGGTGTCGCTGGAGAAATAATACTGGATGTTAGGTGCTGGTCAATGGAAATAACTGAGAATGCTGGATCTGAGTTTCTCCTGCATGACTGACAACAGTTGCCTTGGGCTGGACGCTGCCGTTCAGCGGCTGAGGGGCAGTGGTGCTGGTAGCGCCATGGGCAGGTGAGGAAGAGTTCGCGCAGTCAATACTGAAAGAGGATGACCTAGTGGGAAAAACGGGAATCGAGCGTTAGCTGCTTTCAGAGACAGACAGCCCTGGCCGTGGCAAGGTCTATTCAGGGACCGACAGAACAGACACGGCCCAGGCAGATGCTTCCCCATGGAAAAAAAAAACCAAAACCTCATCTCTGGAACCACTGTCTGCCCGGGAGCCCCCAGCCCTGCCCACGGAACGGGAGGGCACGGGCGGAGGTAACGGGACTGTGGCAGCTCCCAGCCTGACAGAGGTGTGCCTCTGGGCACGGCGTTAGCTGTGAACCCACGTCCTACCGGGCAGCACCCTGAAACCAGTGCTTATTTGCTCTGCCCTACGGCACCTCCCAAGAAAGGCGAAGGCCATTGCCAACGGCCCTCACTCTTCCTGCCTCACTTGCTAATCATCGCAGGCTTCCCTCGAACCACGCCACCTCGCCGCTCTGCCGGGGCAGCGTCTGTCCTTGCCGGCAGGCGGGGGGGAGCAGCCGCTGAGCCAGCTCCGTTCTCCCACGGCCGCTGCGCTGGGTACCCCGAGAGGAGGGGGGGTGCCCCACGTGCAGGGGGAAACGGAGACTTAGTGTCTGCGTGTGCTTTCCCAGGATGTCAGCTCCCACTGCTTTTAAAAAATTTTGGATGTGGAAAAAGAGGTTTCAGGAACTCAACGTGCAAGCAATTGTTTGGAAAAGGAGCTGGTTGGGGGGCAGCTCTGTGCCCCGAGAACCCAGCTCTGCAACAGCGGCGAGCAAGCGATTGCATTTAAATCACAAAAACCACTTGTGGCGGTGAAGTTTCTCGGAATGACAGCACCGGGACTGTATAATATTTTCTGAAAATTCGCCAGCTTGCTGTGCAGATATCGTGATCAAACGGCAGCATTCCAACTGAAAAAGGGCTTGGCCATACCCCTGCTTGTGCTTATCGAACCAGAGCTCTATAATCTGCAGTCGCTGCACTGAACAGAGAGCTTTGAAAAGAGATGCTGAGAACTTCTAACAGTAAAGACGAAAGCTAAAACCAGTAAGAGCTGCCAAAGGCTCAGTGTTTCCTCAAAACGAAGCCACTTAAATTGGGAATCTAAATAAAATCTTACGAGCCTCAACATATTTCAGAAGCCTTGCCCCCAAATCAGCCGTGCGTTACAACAGACAGCTACTTCAAGTGCTGAACAGAAAAATATCAATACGCAATATCGTTTCCTGGCCAGACATTGTGAAACAACATTCCTACGTCAGATACTGTCACAGCCAGTTGTTATTTTTTTAAGCAATACTGGAATCCCCAAGAAATTAATCTTTCTTACTAACTCATGGAAAACTGGAAAGTCAGCAGATGCTAAAGGTCCCCCCGCGCCAGCGTTAACAGCCGGCCGCTGTTTGCACCGACCGCGCGGGCGGGCGGCTGAGGAATGGAGCAGAACGGAGCTCGTCGCACACGGGATGGGGAGAAAGCAGAGAGAGGGGGGGTCGGGCAGGAGCGTGCCAAAAACCTTCAGTGTATGCAGGCACGGCATCCCAGCGCGTCACGACCACCAGGGGTATTCAGTGGAGCACACGGTGATGCCATTTTGACCAACAGTTGGCACATCCACCCAGGGCCACCAAAATTAAGAGGGGACACATGAGCGGGTGCAGCTGCCAGAGACGATGGAGAAGCAGCGATGCTGACGAGACGGCAGTGGCAATGATGGTACCCAAAAAAATCTTTGCTACAGTTGAGGTTTGGCCCCAAAGCCTGAAACAGGGACTACAATTACCTTCTCACCCCTATTAGATAGTGGTCCTTCCATGTCTGCTTTGAGGTGCACTGGTGGAGCAGTGGAGGGCAGGCTACAGTGCACTTGTCCACACTGTACCTGACCTGTGGATGAGAAGAGCCTTCAGCCTCTGTTACTACAAACACAACCGGCACGGTCGGGCTTCCACCGGGGAGCAGCTCGGGACGCGCGCGGAAGAAGAGATGCCCGGCGGATCAGGCGGAGGCGCAGCAGGAGCCACGATTTACCACGGCCGCGTGGGCGAGGGAGGGGAGAAGCCTCACAGGAGTCACGGAGCTAAAACCTCCGTCCAGGCAGGACCAAAGCTGCCTGGCGCTCACAAACGATTCACCCGCACTTGGCAACTGTTAGAGAAAGCAGCTCTGATCTTGTGAGCAGGAAGAAGACCACTTGACCACCGAGCTCAATGGGGCACGTTCACACCTCTTCTCCGTGACAAAGGAAACACAAGGAGGGCCAAGGACCAGTCAGGTAAAACTGGGACTTTTCTGGAGATGAGGCATGGAGGG